GCAATTTATCAAGAATTGATTTAATCTGCATTATGTCTAGGAGTGCATCTACACTGTAATTTAATGCATCCTGACACCACTTTGATGGCCGCGACTTAATACTGTGGAATCCTGGGAGCTGTAGTCTGGAGAGGCACCAGCTCTCTGATAGAGAAAGAGGAAGACGTTGTGAAACTACAACTCCCAGGAGTCCACAGCATTAAACCATGACAGTTAAAGTGGGTCCAAACTACAGTCATTCTACAGAAGCATCCTTAAGTTACAAATAACCTTTTTTCATTACACAGAAGGTGGCTGTGAATCCTAGCCTTGGATGGAAAATGGGATATACATCAAATAAACATGAACCCAAGGCCAACATTCCTTTTTGTTCCTTCAATTCCTTTTCTCTCTGACTGATCTGCTCATATGTGTTTTTATTTTTCTCCTATTTGTTCCATAACTTCCCTATCTTTAAATGCAGCTTTGACTCCTTCCTCACCACCACACCCCACCATTTTCCATCCTCTTGTATTCCATTACATTTTCTCAATACAAGGACTCCTGTAAGGAGAGAAAATGGGAGGAAAACATCTCCATAACCCTCAGTTACATCCATCACAGTATCTCCAGCTGGTCTCCCCCTCCCCCAAAGCTACCACTGACCATGATTCTCCTTCGATCACTCCCTTGGAGAAAAACAAAATACCCACAAAGGAGAAAATTGCAAAGGTTGAATGGAAATCAAGGCTGTCACAGCGCCGGAGGAGAGAAAAACACAGATATTTTTAGCGTCATCCATCTGCCTGCCTGCTTGCGTGTTAGCAAAATCTAAAAATACTCCATGGGGGCAAAAAAGGGGGAAGCACATCCACCTTAAAAATGCCCCCCCCCTCCAAACCCTTTTTCAGACTCAATGGGGTTATCAAAATAAAGGGGGGGGGGGAGATTGAAAGTAGACCTCCAAACATCTTTATCTTTGCTTTTCATGGCTTCTCTTTATACCAGTCCAATTATCAGGATGTTTGACTTTCACAGCTGGAAGAGTGATGTCAACACCAGCACCCCCTCCTTTAAAAAAATGTCAAAATGGAGACATGGGGGATTTCTATCTTGATGGTTTTCTTTCTCCCTTTTTTAAGCAGATGAGAGGAATCTGTGAAATCACCTTCCACACAGGTGTTTTTATGGACAGAAGGAGAAGAGATGCTGAAAAAAAGCATGTAAAAAGGACCTTCTTTCCTTCTGAAATTTGAAAAAAATGGCATACGGAAGGGACATATGCATTATTTCTTTTATTGATTTGCTTTATTTTGATTCTGCCTTTCTTCTTCCAGATATAGGGAATCAAGGCAGCTAACACCAAGCATGGCACAATATCAGTAATGCATTAAAATACACATATAAAAATAATAAAAGCTATCAAGTCATGTCATGAACATTTAAATAGTAAAATATATTTAAAACGAAAAGACTCATTGCTACATCATTGCTGAGTGAAGGATGGGGAGGGGGGAGCATATAAAATGACCTCATTTATTCCTGATAGTGTTAAGGGAAATGCAACACTTGAAGGAGCTGTGTCTTTTATTTCTCACTGTTTACAACATTTGCGACTATTTCCCAGGGAAGGAATTAGAGAAATGCAGTTTCTGAATGAGCCCGTTTGTTTCTAGTTCACATTTTTCTACATTTTCCCAGGCGAAGCAAGGAAGAAAACAACACAACCTTCCATATGAGCGGTTTCACATTTTTTTCCGGGCAAGAAATTGGAGGAAATGCAATGTCTGAATGAATGGTTTGTTTCCTTTTCACATTTCTTGTACATTTTTCTAGGCAAATAAAGGAAGAAAAAAGTAATGATAGGAAACAGATGATATCCCCTTCCCATTAGCATGTTGTGATCATATTTGATTTAACGAAAGAGGAAGTCTTCATTTATGAGAGAGATCATATTTAATCTGGAGAAGGATCGGGGTTATAATTCAATAATTCTCTTTGCTTTTTATCATATTTAATTTGGAGAAGGAAAGATCTTAAGTCAAGAATGTCCTTTCCTTTTTAATAGGAAAAATCGTATTTAATCTGGAAAAGGAGGTCTTCATAGTTCTCTTCGATTTTAAAGAGAAAAATCATATTTATTTGGGAACAGCAGCCTTCATTCAAGAATCCCCTTCGCTTTTAAAGAGAAACCCCATATTTATTTGGGGACAGGAGCCTTCAAGAGAAAAATCATATTTATTTGAGGAAAGGAGGAGCCTTCATGCAAGAATCCCCTTTTAAAGAGGAAAACCATATTTATTTGGTGACAGGAGCCTTCATTCAAGAATCCCCTTCGCTTTTAAAGAGAAACCCCATATTTATTTGGGGAAAGGAGCCTTCAAGAGTAAAAATCGTATTTATTTGGCAAAGGGAACCTTCATGAAAGAATCCCCTTTGCTTTTAAGAGGAAAAAAAATCAGTTATTTGGGGGAAGGAGGATCTTACATGCCAGAATCCCCTTTTCAAGAGAAAAATCATATTCATTTGGAGAAAAGAGGAGCCTTCATGCAAAAATCCCCTTTTAAAAAGGAAATACATATTTATTTGGGAACAGCAGCCTTCATTCAAGAATCCCCTTCGCTTTTAAAGAGAAACATCATATTTATTTGGAGACAGGAGCCTTCAAGAGAGAGAAAAATCGTATTTATTTGGCAAAGGGAACCTTCATGCAAGAATCCCCTTTGCTTTTAAGAGGAAAAAAATCATATTTATTTGGGGGAAGGAGGGTCCTACATGCCAGAATCCCCTTTTCAAGAGAAAAATCATATTTATTTTGATAAATGAGGAGCCTTCATGCAAGAATCCCCTTTTCAAGAGGAAAATTGTATTTATTTGGTGACAGGAGCCTTCAAGAGAGAGAAAAATCGTATTTATTTGGCAAAGGGAACCTTCATGCAAGAATCCCCTTTGCTTTTAAGAGGAAAAAAATCATATTTATTTGGGGGAAGGAGGGTCCTACATGCCAGAATCCCCTTTTCAAGAGAAAAATCATATTTATTTTGAGAAATGAAGAGCCTTCATGTAATAATCTCCTTTTTGAAAGAAAAATCATATTTGTTTTGAGAAAAGAGGAGCCCTCATGCAAGAATCCCCTTTTAAAGAGGAAAATCATATTTATTTGGGAACAGCAGCCTTCATTCAAGAATCCCCTTCACTTTTAAAGAGAAACATCATATTTATTTGGAGACAGGAGCCTTCAAGAGAGAAAGAAAATCACATTTATTTGGCAAAGGGAACCTTCATGCAAGAACCCCCCTTTGCTTTTAAGAGGGGAAAATTTGTATTTATTTGGAGGAAGGAGGGTCCTACATGCCAGAATCCCCTTTTCAAGAGAAAAATCATATTTATTTTGAGAAAAGAGGAGCCTTCGTGTAATAATCTCCTTTTCAAGAAAAAAATCATATTTATTTGGAGGAAGGAGAGTCCTACATGCCAGAATCCCCCTTTCAAGAGAAAAATCCTATCTATTTGGGGGAAGGAGGGTCCTACAAGCAAGAATCCCCTTTTCCAAGAGAAAAATCATATTTATTTGGGGAAAGGAGGGTCCTACATGCAGGAATCCCCTTTTCAAGAGAAAAATCATATTGATTTTGAGAAAAGAGGAGCCTTCATGCAAGAATCCCCTTTTCAAGTGGAAATTCATATTTATTTGGGGAAAGGAGGAGCCTTCGTGCAAGAATCTCGTTTTCAAGGGGAAAATCATATTTATTTGGGGGAAGGAGGGTCCTACATGCCAGAATCCCCTTTTCAAGAGAAAAATCATATTTATTTTGAGAAAAGAGGAGCCTTCGTGCAAGAATCTCCTTTTTGAGAGAAAAATCACATTTATTTTGAGAAATGAGGAGCCTTCATGCAAGAATCTCCTTTTCATGAGAAAAAAATCATATTTATTTTGAGAAAAGAGGAGCTTTCATGCAATAATCTCCTTTTTGAGAGAAAAATCATATTTATTGTGAGAAATGAGGAGCCTTCATGCAATAATCTCCTTTTTGAGAGAAAAAAATCATATTTATTTTGAGAAAAGAGGAGTCTTTGTGCAAGAATCTCCTTTTCAAAAGAAAAATCATACTTATTTTGAGAAAATTATATATATATAAGAAAAATCATATTTATTTTGAGAAAAGAGGAGCCTTCATGCAATAATCCCCTTTTCAAGACAAAAATCATACTTATTTTGAGATATATATATAATTATATTTATTTTGAGAAAAAGAGGAGCCTTCATGCAAGAATCCCCTTTTCGAGAGAAAAATCATATTTATTTGGGGGAAGGAGAGTCCTACATGCCAGAATCCCCTTTTCAAGAGAAAAATCATATTTATCTCCTTTTCAAGAAAAAAAATCATATTTATTTGGGGGGAAGGAGGGTCCTACATGCAAGAATCTCCTTTTTAAGAGGAAAATCATATTTATTTTGAGAAAATTATATATATATAAATTATATTATATATTATATATAAATTATATGGAAAATTGTATTTATTTGGTGACAGGAGCCTTCATTCAAGAATCCTCTTTGCTTACCAAGAGGAAAATCCTATTTATTTGGGGAAAGGAGCCCCCTCCTCTTGGAAAGAGAGAAGCCATGTTTAACCTGGAGGAAGAGGAGGAGAAGGAGGGAGATGCTAGGAACGTGTGGAAGGCACAGGTCTTCCCTCAATACCCGCTTTTGGGGTCCAAGAAGGCGCCCAATGGAGGACAGATATCTCTATACTAGGCATGGGCGAACTTGGGCCCTCCCTCCAGGTGTTTGGGGCTTCCATTTCCACCATTCCTAACAGCCTCAGGCCCTTTCCTTTCCCCCCTCATCCGCTTAAGCCGAAAAGGAAAGAGAAAAGGAAAAGGAAGGGGCCTGAGGCTGTTAGGAATTGTGGGGAAATGGAAGCCCCAAACACCTGGAGGGAGGGCCCAAGTTCGCCCATGCCTGCCCTATATCCCCTTCTTGGTGGTCCTTCACGCTGTGTTTGCCCCTTACTTACATCTCGTGGGGCTCGAGGCGGTGCGGGGCTGTCGGCTGGGCGGCTGGGCTCTGGCTGCCTGACTGCCTGCCTGCCTGGTTGCGGCTCTCCTTGGCTTTGAGGCAGCAAGATGGCGGCGGGGCTGGCTCTACATCCGGGCATTCCGAGAGGGAGGGGGGAAATTGAGGAGGAGGAGGAGGAGGGAAAAAACAGCTGAGGGAAAAGGAAGGCCTGAAAGGGCCTCGGCCGCCATCTTGGCTCATTTCTCCCACTTCTTCATTCTCACTGATGTTCATGATTATTTCTGTTTCAAATGGACACGTCTGCCTCTTCTTTCCTTTGCCTCTTTCCCCACATTTTAAGACACAAAAGAATGAAACAACATTGGAAGGGAAAGGGATTTTATAAAGCACATAAAAGATGGAGGACTTGGCTTCTTATGCCCCTCACAGAGCTTTTGTTTTCATAGAATCGAGATTGCAGGAAAAACACACAATCCAATCACCCCTGACAGATGGCCACCCTGCCTCGGTTTCGAAGTTTCCAAGGACTCAGCTTCCACTACACTCCAAGGCAGAGAGTTCCACTGTTGGACAGCTCTTCATACTCTCACCCCTGACAGATGGCCACCCAGTCTCAGTTTCGAAGTTTCCAAGGACTCAGCTTCCACTACACTCCAAGGCAGAGAGTTTCCAAGGACTCAGCTTCCACTACACTCCGAGGCGGAGAGTTTCCAAGGACTCAGCTTCCACTACACTCCGAGGCAGAGAGTTCCACTGTTGGACAGCTCTTCATACTCTCACCCCTGACAGATGGCCACCCAGTCTCAGTTTCGAAGTTTCCAAGGACTCAGCTTCCACTACACTCCAAGGCAGAGAGTTTCCAAGGACTCAGCTTCCACTACACTCCGAGGCGGAGAGTTTCTAAGGACTCAGCTTCCACTACACTTCGAGGCAGAGAGTTTCCAAGGACTCAGCTTCCACTACACTCCGAGGCGGAGAGTTTCCAAGGACTCAGCTTCCACTACACTCCGAGGCAGAGAGTTTCCAAGGACTCAGCTTCCACTACACTCCGAGGCAGAGAGTTTCCAAGGACTCAGCTTCCACTACACTCCGAGGCGGAGAGTTTCCAAGGACTCAGCTTCCACTACACTCCGAGGCAGAGAGTTCCACTGTTGGACAGCTCTTCATACTCTCACCCCTGACAGATGGCCACCCAGTCTCGGTTTCGAAGTTTCCAAGGACTGAGCTTCCACTACATTCCGAGGCAGAGAGTTCCACTGTTGGACAGCTTTTCATACTCTTATGCCTCTTTCAGAGATTTTGTTTTCATACAGTCGTAGAGTTGGAAGAGATTCCTATGGGCCATCTAGTCCAAAAACCCCTGCCATGCAGGAAAACACACACAATCCAATCACCCTGAGAGATGGTCACCCAGTCTTGGTTTTGAAGTTTCCAAGGACTCAGCTTCCACTACACTCCAAGGCAGAGAGCTCCACTGTTGGACAGCTTTTCATACTCATGCCTATTTTAGAGCTTTTGTTTACATAGAACCATAAGAGTCGGAAGAGACCCCCATGGGCCATGTAGTCTAACCCCATGCCATGCAGGAAAAACACACAATCCAATCACCCTTGACAGATGGTCACCCAGTCTTGGTTTTGAAGTTTCCAAGGACTCAGCTTCCACTACACTCCGAGGCAGAGAGTTTCCAAGGACTCAGCTTCCACTACACTCCAAGGCAGAGAGTTCCACTGTTGGAGAGCTTTTCATTCTCTTATGTCTCTTTCAGAGCTTTTGTTTTCATAGAATCGTAGAGTTGGAAGAGATTCCTATGGGCCATCTAGTCCAACCCCCTGCTATGCAGGAAAAACACACTAACCAATCACCCCTGACAGATGGCCACCCAGCCTCGGTTTTGAAGTTTCCAAGGACTCAGCTTCCACTACACTCCGAGGAAGAGAGTTTCCAAGGACTCAGCTTCCACTACACTCCGAGGAACAGAGTTTCCAAGGACTGAGCTTCCACTACACTCCGAGGCAGAGAGTTTCCAAGGACTCAGCTTCCACTACACTCCGAGGAAGAGAGTTCCACTGTTGGACAGCTCTTCATACTCTTATGCCTCTTTCAGAGCTTTTGTTTTCATAGAACCATAAGAGTTGGAAGAGACCCCCATGGGCCATCTAGTCCAACCCTCTTCCAAGCAGGAAAAACACACAATCCAATCACACCTGACAGATGGCCACCCAGCCTCGGTTTCGAAGTTTCCAAGGACTGAGCTTCCACTACACTCCGAGGCAGAGAGTTCCACTGTTGGACAGCTCTTCATACTCTTATGCCTCTTTCAGAGATTTTGTTTTCATACAATCGTAGAGTTGGAAGAGATTCCTATGGGCCATCTAGTCCAAAAACCCCTACCATGCAGGAAAAACACACAATCCAATCACCCCTGACAGATGGCCGCCCAGCTTTGGTTTCAAAGTTTCCAAGGACTGAGCTTCCACTATACTCTGAGGCAGAGAGTTCCACTGTTGGATAGCTCCTCATACTCTTATGCCTCTTTCAGAGCTTTTGTTTTCATAGAACCGTAAGAGTTGGAAGGGACCCCCATGGGCCATCTAGTCCAACCCCCTGCCATGCCGGAAAAGCACACAACCCAATCACCCCTGACAGATGGCCACCCAGTCTTGGTTTCGAAGTTTCCAAGGACTGAGCTTCCACTACACTCCAAGGCAGAGAGTTCCACTGTTGGACAGCTCTTCATACTCTTATGCCTCTTTCAGAGCTTTTGTTTTCATAGAATCGTAGACTTGGAAGAGACCCCTATGGGTCATCTAGTCCTACCCCCTGCCATCTAAGAAAAACACACAATCCAAACACCCCTGACAGATGGCCACCCAGCCTCGGTTTTGAAGTTTCCAAGGACTGAGCTTCCACTACACTCTGAGGCAGAGAGTTCCACTGTTGAACAGCTCTTCTTACACAAGGAAGTCCTAATGTTCAAGTAGAATCTCTTTTCCTGTAATTTGAACCCATGGCTTCATTGACTCCTAGTTTCCAGGGCAGCAGAAAACAAGCCTGCTCCCTATTAATTCACCCAGTCCAACCCCCTGCCATGCAGGAAAAGCACACAGTCCAATCACCCCTGACAGATGGCCACCCAGTCTTGGTTTCAAAGTTTCCAAGGACTGAGCTTCCACTACACTCCAAGGCAGAGAGTTCCACTGTTGAACAGCTCTTCTTACACATAGGAACGGAAGTCCTTCCTAATCTTCAGGTCAAATCTCTTTTCCTGTAATTTGAACCCATGGCTCCATTGAGTCCTAGGTTCCAGGGCAACAGAAAACAAGCCTGCTCCCTATTCATTCACCCAGCCTCTGTTTCAATGTTTCCAAGGACCGAGCTTCCACTACACTCCGAGGCAGAGAGTTCCACTGTTGAACAGCTCTTCTTACACATAGGAACGGAAGTCCTTCCTAATGTTCAGGTGGAATCTCTTTTCCTGTAATTTGAACCCATGGCTCCATTGAGTCCTAGTTTCCAGGACAGCAGAAAACAAGCCTACTCCCTCTTCATTCACCCAGCCCCTGTTTCAAAGTTTCCAAGGACCGAGCTTCCACTTCACTCCGAGGCAGAGAGTTTCACTGTTGAACGGCTCTTCTTACACACAGGAAGTCCTTCCTAATGTTCAGTAGAATCTCTTTTCCTGTAATTTTAACCAATGGCTCCATTGAGTCCTAGTTTACAGGGCAGCAGAAAATAATAAGAAAATAATCCCGCTCCCTCTTCATTATGGGATCCCTTTAAATGGGGGGAAGAGGGAGAAAAATAAATCACAAACACACAAAAGATGGGAAACTTGGCTTCTCTGCTTTACTGTTATAATTATTTATTATTTATCATGTCAGAAGCAAATTGAGAATACAGTTATAATGTATTTTTAAAAATACAATGTTAAAAATTATAAGTTGCTTACCTGTAACTGTAGTTTCCTTAGTAGTCACCTGCGAATGCATACATTTGATATTCTCTGCGCTCGTGCAGCAGCATTCGGAACCTTCTAAATCAAAAAGAACGACAGTTAGATAGGCCACGCCCCCTTCCCCTGGTATAAATAGCCCGTGGGCGGGGCCAACCGTCAGTTCTCTTCCGCCGCAAAACAGCTGGAAGGCACGGCATGACACCCGAGGGGAGGAGGGTGGGTATGTATGCATTCGCAGGTGACTACTAAGGAAACTACAGTTACAGGTAAGCAACTTATAATTTCCTTACGTAGTCCCTGCGAATCATACATTTGATAGATTAGCGAGCTACTGACCGTGGTTGGTGGGAGTCATGCCACTGCCGAAAACAGCACCGCCCTGCCGAACTCGGCATCCTTCTTAGAAGCGACATCCAGCTTGTAGTGCGAGACGAACGACAGCGGATTCGTCCAGATGGCTGCCCGGCAGATGACATCCAAAGGTACTCCTCTCATGAAAGCCGCAGTAGTAGACATGGCCCTGGTGGAATGGCCCTTGACCTGTAACGGTAAGTCTTTGCCAGCCAATTGGTAGCATAATTTAATAGTAGAAACAATCCAAGAGGAAAATCTATGTGACGACAAGGGCTGGCCCTCCATGTCCTTGCGGTATTTAATAAAGAGACGTGGTGTTTTTCTTAGTGTTGTAGTTCTGTCAACATAATAAGCTAAGGCTCTTCTGACATCTAAGAGGTGCAATGTTCGCGCCATAGGTGAAGAGGGATTTCGGAAAAATGAAGGGAGCACTATGTCCTGAGACATATGGAAAAAAGAAGAGACCTTGGGTAAAAAGGCAACATCTGTTCTAAGCACCGCCTTGTCTTTGTGTATCCTCAAGTAAGGGGGATCCACTCTTAAAGCACACAACTCACTAGCACGTCTAGCCGACGTGATGGCTACCAAGAACGCCGTTTTCCAAGACAGGTGAGAGATGTGCGTAGTAGCTAAAGGTTCGAAAGGCGGTCTGGTCAAGTATGAAAGCACTAATTCTAGGCTCCATGATGGAACTATCGGGGCTACAGGAGGCCTGGTGTTTGCCATTCCTCGTAGGAAAAGCCTTACTAGGGGGTGAGAAAAGCAAGATGGGCGACCTTCCTTCCTACGAAACCAGGAGATTGCCGCCAGGTAACATTTAAGAGATGAGTGGGACAACCCTGCGTCCGCTAAAGACATAAGGAAATCTAACACTAATTCGATTGGAGCTGTTGCGGGATTTACACCCTTTG